AATTCCAGACTGTAAAGAGCTCATTGACTGAATCACCGTATTAATATCTCTTAGGTATTTTACCATTCTCCATTTCCATTAAAAAGATTTCTTTTTAATGACAAATACTAAAGAATATGGGGGCCCACAGAGGCTCCCTAGTAAGGCCTTACTCAAGGTCAGAGGATCTAAACTTGCTTTACCCAGCAGGGCTGCATAATGGGATAATTTGGCCAGGGGTCTGGTTACCAGGTGTTTTGAAGAGTCTACACTTGGCTGTACATTGTACTTTGACCTTAAAAGGGGGAAGTCTTTTGCCTCTCCCCTTGGTAGTATATAAAAGCCCATTAAAATAAAACTCTGGGTGGCTGAGTATTAGCCCAGGGCTCTCTGGAAGCTATCCTGTGTCTCTATCTTTCTTGTTGTCTCTACCTATATTTCTGTTTAATACTTCCTCATTCTTCTTTCCTTCTCCAAGAACCCTTCAACAGATCAGAGCTTGACTCCAATAGGAGAATTCCAAGGACTGGTTGATTCTTTAATATATTGAGCATTTAGCTGCTCCTGTACCAGCTGTTCTAATCCCTGTAATTTTTCTGATGTTTCATCCAGACAGTTTTGTCAGTCAACCATTTTAAAGGTAAGGCTGTTGGTACCTTTGAGAGATCAGCAACTCTTGTGCCCTCTTTATGTACAACCTGAATGGTCAGTGACTATTCTTTATGATACCTTTTAATATTTTTCTCAGAAGCATAAATTAGCTTATGGTTTGTTTTTGAGATTGGAGAAATGTAATTGAAGCATTGGAATCTGGGTATTCCATTGTTGTAACAAATCATGTTCCCATAAATCCATTTCTATGTTAGCCACACATGGCTTTCATTTTCCTCTCTGTCCTTCCAGCCCTATACATTTGCCCCATCTTGCAGTTTGTTTTGCCTGAAATAAAGTTCCGGTCCCTAAAAGCTGAACATCCTGAAAAGGCCAATATTGATGGCAAGATTTTGGTGCAATTATTGGTATACCTGCCCCCGTGTCTACCATTCTCTCAATTACATTTGTATTTTTAACTTTGGTCTTTGACCATTTATGGAAGTTTGCCAAAATATCTGCTTTATGGTTTCTCCTGAAATTTTTGTTTTATCTTCTAAAGCTGTTCTTTCATTCAGAGCAGTATGGTTTTTCATAACAGGTATTAAATCTTTTAATTGCACTGTGGAGGAGTTTCCCTGATGCTGACAGGGAATGATTGAACCAAATTTGACATGGGGGCCTGCAAGAGGCCCCCCCCATGGTATTTCCCAACAGCAAAGGGGGTTACCTTGCCTATTCCATGTTGATCTGCATTCATTAGTTCAGTGTTGGCCTTTGCCACACCTTCTGCATATTCCAGAAAGCTGGGGCCTTCTGTTTGGATTCTCTCTAAAAAAAATATTGTTCCTAGGAATGCCTTGTCTACAATTGTTTTTCAGTTGACCTGGTTTACCACAATTAAAACATCCAACCTTTTGACTTTTCTTAAAATTTTTAGAAGTCACTTTTCCTATCCAAGTATCATCATAAGGGTGAGATCTAACAACAGCTGTATTTTTAATCCATTCATCTGTGGGTGCAGATGTTGCCTTTAAAGGCCCAGTCACCCTTTTACATTAGCATTTTCAAAAACCAAAGATTAAATTAATATTTGTCTAACTTCTGGATCTGATATCATTCTATTTACAGCTGAAGTCAATCTTTATAAAAAGTCAGTGAAGGCTTCTTTGGGCCTTGTGTAACATTAGTAAATGGCTAAGTCCTCTTTCCTGATTCTTCAGTCTTGTCTCAAGTATTTAAAGCAGCTGTATGGCATAGGGCCAAGGTGTGATCATCAAATGTAATCTGTCTTTGCACATCATCATAATGGTCCTCACTGAAGATTTGATCTTGGGAAATCTCATAACCTCTATCCCTACCTCGTTGTTTGATGACCCTAGCTTCATCTTTCCACCAGGTTCTCCACTGTAACTGAGGACCAGCTTCTAATACTGCTCTAACTAAATCTTTCCAGTCTTGTGGAATAATTCTGTTCAGAGTGGCCCATGAATTTAACATCTGCTTCACAAAAAGTGAATGCATACCATATAAAACTGTTGCTTCCTTAAATCTCTTCAAATCTAACATTTCTATAGGATCCTAGTTAACTTCTGAATAGCCTTGGAGATGTCTATCATCTGGTGGTCATTCTTGAGTGGAAATTGGATAAATTAAGGTTGGTTTTCTAATGACATTGGGCCTCTCCTCTTCAGTTTCATAATGCAATGGTGTGGTAACTTCTGCTTTAAACTCCTCTGTTTGTGAATATTTTTCTTAGTTTCATCAGCCTGCCTTTCTAAGGATTTTATCTTATCAGTCCATTTTTCATATTTGGCACCCATATCAAACAAGTTTTTAAGGGATAAAACAAGAGTTACCAAAATGATAATGATTATAATTGACATTACCTCAATCCCAGCTAAGTTGATTATCCCTTCATTTAATTGTTTTATTTCAAAACATCTATTGTGGGACTATGCAGAGACCTAACTCCATGCATCATAATATTATTTCCCATTTTTTATGTGGGGAACACCCCCCATCTTTTTGTTTTGTTTTGGTTTTGGTTTTTGGTTTTTCAAGACAGAGTTTCTCTGTGTAGCTTTAGTACCTTTCCTGGAACTTACTCTGTAGCCCAGGCTGGCCTCAAACTCACAGAGATCTGCTTGCCTCTGCCTCCCAAGTGCTGGGATTAAAGGCGTGTGCCACCACTGCCTGGCCTTTTTTTTATTCTCTTTTTTTTTCTTTTAAATCTAATTCCCCTCTTTAAGAATTCCCAGTTGTCTCACCAGCTCTGCTGACGACGATAGTGAAGTATGAGTCTGACTGTCACTGCATAGCACAGTTGAGCAGAGAACACAGGTGTTGCAGAGCCTTGCTGAGGGCTGCTGCAACTGCTCACCTGTAGCTGCGAGCTGAACGTGTGTCCCGGTTGCAACAATAGAAGCCTGAGCTCCTGTTGAGGACACTAACCTGTTGTGGTAGCAACCCAAGGAGGGCGACAGGGGAAGTCTGGAACCCACAAGGAGAAGGAGCCAGCTGTCTGAAAAGCAGACATAGGATGACTTGTGGAAGAAGCACATGTGGTGGGAGCTGCCTGAAGGCAGAGCCAGCCAATTGTGGGTAGCTAACTCTGTTTGGAGCCCAGGCACCTCTGGAGTTTGGGTTCTGTGGAGTTTGGGCAGCAGCTGGAGGCTGTTGTAGAGAGACTGCAACAGGAAAATCCCAGGCTCACTCAGAGGGCTTGGGGCAAGGAAGGAGGAGCCAGTCGGAGGCACAGTTGTGGCTCTAGCTGATGCAGCTCCTATTGGCCGCAAAGCCAGGGGCCAGCAGCTATCTCCTGATTTTGTCCCCCAAGTTGGATGCCAGGTGATGTGTTTATCTAATTATTTTAACAATAAAAAATTGGGAGTCATATATTGGAGTAAGAACCTGAATGATCAGAGAAGCTTCAGAGAAGCCACCAGTGACCTCCTATCTTTTCCATTCTTCCATCCAAAAGGGCTGAGATCCTCTCTCAGCCCCTTCTTACTACTTCCTGTTTCCTATCTGTCCTCCAAGCCTCTATGGTTAATTTTGGTTAGCTAGCTCTGCCCTCTGACTCAAAGCAAGCTTTATTGTCAGAATGCCATCAAAATATCACATAACGCACAAGCTTCATGTGGTATGACTTCCCTAGCTGGCAAGTAGTGCATATATGGCATGTGGTTACCTGCATGGTTGATCCATGGCTACTTGCATAGTGAGGGCCCTCTTGTGATATGCTGAATATGCTATCCAGTCACAATAGAAACTACTTCTGTCTTTGGCTACTTTCTGCTGTAAGTCCTATAAAAAGCTGCTAGGCAAACAGTATTTCCCTCTACCTTGTTTTTCTCTCAGGAATTTTGTCTTCTTTCTGGAGTGCTACTTTCTATCATAAATTTTAAGAAATATTTTTTAAATATTTTAATATGTATGGGCATTTTGCTTACATGTATGTATGTATGCCACATGTGAGTGTCGTGACTATGGACATCAGAAAAGTGTGTCAGATCACCTGGAACTGGAGTCCCAGATGTTTGTGAGGCACCATGGGAGTGCTGGGAACTGAACATGGGTTCCCAGGAAAAGCAGCCAGTCCTCTTTAACCAATGAACCATCTCCCCAGACCCTCTACTACAAATCTTTAATTTCTATCTTTAAGGTTTCTCTTTTATGTTTTGTTAAAGGCTTACTGTGTGTGTGAATGTATTTCTGTGTGGGGTATGTGCATGTGAGAGCAGTTCCATGTAGAGGCCTGAAGAGGCAGTTGGATTGTGGAGCTGGGGTTACAGGTTGTTACAATTGTCAGCCAACTTTCTTGGGGTCTTCTCTAAGTGCAGGATGCTTTAAACACAGAGCCTTCTCTCTCGTCCCCGAGCTTTCTTTCTATGAAGAAAATGCCTCTTCAAAACTCAGCCTTGGCTTGTGGATTTCCCTTTTTGAGTTCCTGAGACAAGGACCTGGAACTAACTCCTGTGTTATGCACGCCTGAGATGAGAAAGTCTGCTGTGCACGCCGAAGAACACCATTAGTTCCTTTCTCCGTTTCATTCTTAGGACTCCAGGCTTCTACTTACACATCTCCTTCCTTGGATGTCTGTTGGAGTCTTCACTCTTCCCTCAGGAGGATGACTCCCTTTCAGGGTGGGTAGAACCTCTAGTGCAGTGGTTCTCAACCTGTGGGTTGTGACCCCTCTGGGGCCTTTCCCTTAGCACCGAAATTTCCAGGAGTTTCTGTGGGATGAATAGCACTGGACAAATGTTGTCCAACTTTTAGTACAAAATCCATTTAAAGAGAAATTTTCTTTCCAAGAGGTGTTTATTGATGGAAAAGAAAAGTAGGCTAGAAAGCCGAAAAGGGGAAGGTGTAGAAAGGCCTGGCTGTAAAGCTGGCTGCCATTCCTGACCGCGGGTGTCGCCGTCCAGTCACTTCTTTTTCTTGCCCTTTTTTGCCTTCGCCTGCTTCTTCTTCTGCTTGGCTTTCAGCTTTGCCTCCCTCTGCTTCTTCTCCTTCTCCTCCTTCTCCTTTTGCTTTGCCTCCTCTTCTTCTTTCTGCTCCAGCAGTAATTTGAGGTTCGGGTCTGGCATCTTGCCGAACTTGTCTGGAGCAAGCACATGGAGCTTTCGGAGCTTCCTGGGTTTGAAGTGTCTCCTTTGAAGACAGAGGTCAACGAGAGCAAAAAATGCGGCAAGTGCCATAAGAACCTAGGGAACAAGTGGATCTTCATTATTTTGACTGTCCACCTAGAAGGCAGGCACAGATTCCATTCTTGGTCTCTCATCTGAGGTGATGCACAGTGTACCCCAAAACACCTCGATCCTAGACCCTCCTTCGGTCTGCCCTCCCTGGTTTCATGCCCAGTGTCCCCATCATCTTTCTTTTTCCTTTCTTTTCACGTACATGAGAGTCACAGGTGACTTGGCTGCCTTCTTAGACACCACGTTTAAAAAGGTGTCTTCTGCATTAGAAACATTTACCAACTTCTTAAATTTGCTTTGATCCCAAGCTTTGTTTGTTTGAGACAGGGTCTCATGTACCCCAGGCTGGCCTTGAACTTACTATTGTGCCAAGGATGGCTTTGGACTTTGGATCCTCTGCCTCTACCTCCTGAGTGCCAACATTGTAGATAGGCATGAGGTACTACAGTAAGTTTTTGAAGTGTCATAGATCAGGCTAGACCAGCTCTCTATAGACTCAGCAGCAACCTAGCCCATGATCCCAGGATTTTTGTGACAGTGATTTAGGACACCCACAGATTAGCAGAAACACCTCACCAAAGCCATAATGTAGGTGACTGTCAATTCACTTTTAGACTTCACACCAAAGACTATGGCGCCTGTGAGGAACACACAGGTGAAGAGGTCGTTCAAGAGGTCCTGAAAGTGGGAGAGATAAGCTGGTCTTAGATAGATGTGCCCCATGCACCCCAGAAACAACACAGTATCCTCCATGTAACCATGTTCAAATGTCCCCCCACCCTGATAATTTAAAATATACAAAGGCAAATATGTTTCTGGCCAAGCAGATCAACCAGCGGCTCCCTGCTGGCCTCTGTGAGTGGAGCACACAGTCCAAACTTAACTGCTGTCTGCCCAGGTGAGCCACAAGATACCATCTTGCCTAAAACACCAGGGATCCGGTGCCTATCAGTAGTCATGTAAATAAATGCATAGGCTACTTGATGGTATCTCTGTTAGGTACTTCCCCTCATCATTTCTGTACTCTCCTCTCCAGAGCTTCCGTGAGCAGTATTGCTGCTGCCAGGAGGCTCTCTGACTTAACTCTGGGAGCCTTGCTGCTCCCTCTACACCCAACCCTGCCTTACCCCCTGGACCACCTTCCTTGATTGCTTCCTCCATTATTTTTTTCTTTTCATTCCTTGGGGATTTGGTCTTCCTTTACCACATACAAGCTTTCTTCTCCCAACACAGAATAAAACCAACCAAAATTCTATGTATTTGTGCCCCTTGTCCCATTTTCTATTAGTTGTGTTTTATCTTAGAGTGTCCAAATTTGAAATTGTTTTTAATTTAGTGGAATGTACAATCTCTCCTGCCAATATTCCTAGGTACTCTCATTGAATGTTCTGTCCAACTTTCTTTTACAAAAAGGTTTGCTTATTTTTATTTTATGTGTATAAGTGTGTTGTCTCCATGCACGTAATCATACCAAATGTGTGTAGTGCCTGAGAAGGCCAGAGAGGGCATTGGATTCCCTGGAGCTACAGCAGCTTGTGAGCTGCTTGGGTGCTGGGAACCCAACCTAGGTCCTCTGCAGAAGGAGCCAGTGCTCTTAACTGCTTAGCCAACTCACCAGCTGCTGTCCCAGGTTTTCAGTGCTACCTCTGTCATATACAAGTTGCAGTATGTGTGTCTGAATTCTCTGATCTATTCCTACGTTAGTATACTATTATAAAATACAATAGGCTGGGTGCCTTAAACAGCAGATGTTTATCCTCTCAGAGTTCTGGGTCTGGAAGGACCAAGAGCAAGGTCCCAGAGCACTCTCCCTGGCTGGAGACAACTGCCCTTCCCTCTCTATATTCATATGAACTTTCATACGAACTGTCTCTTCCTGGAATGATACTAATCATTTGGATCAGAGTCCCATCCTTAAGTTTTCTGTTTATTTTTAATTGCTTCCTCAAAGGCCCCATCTCAGGATATAAATCCAGGGAGGACACAAACATTCCACTGGTAATAATTCCATTAGTTAATCCACGATCTAGCACCAAATCTTAGGGTAAATCTGGTATCTCATTGGGAAAATCCATTCTTGTAGTTCTTTTCATTTTTCCAAAGAATTTTATTTGTAGTGTTTTTACTAGCTCATATTAGTTATACACAATGATGGGCTCATTATATTATATTTAGTAATTTATTTATTTTTACTTTATTTGTATTGGTGTTTTTCCTGCATGTATGTCTGTGTGAGGCTGTCAGATCTTGGAGTAACAGACAGTTGATAGCTGCCACATAGGTGCTGGGAATTGAACCTGGGTCCTCTGGAAGAACAGTCAGTGCTCTCAACCACTGAGCCATCTCTCCAGCTTCCCCATTATATTTTTATACATGTATATAAAGTAATCAATCACATTACCTCCCTCTCCCTGTCACCTTCTCTTTGTCTGTCTTCCCACTTTGGCTACTCTACTTCTTTCCAACTATCCTCACCTCCTTCCTCTTGTTACAATGCATTTGGCATCCTAGGACACTCCGTTGCATGTACTATGCATACATATTCCTCTCTGAACAATGCACCTAACAACCTGTAAGCAACCTGGGACCCCACCTGCATCAAACTACTAGTGGAGTAAGTTTCTTCTCCCCTTAATGACTTGGACAATTTCTACCCAAATTTATTCAGTACTGTGGAGGGTGATATGGAAGGTAGGAGTGCTGATCTGGCCTAAACTGTTTTTGGGCGCATGTGCAATAAGCTAAAACTGTGTTTTCAAGAGAACTTTTAGGAAGAATCCCCTATTTACTATCTTATGACTATGCATATTTGGAGTTGCATATGATTAAAATCAGATGCATTATGGGAAGGGATATGCCCATGAGCAAGGGCTTATATAGTCCAAGCCTATTAGTCTTAATAGAGAACCAACCACCCAAATTACACCCTTTGTAAGCAAACTCCTCCCCCACTTGAACCCCATAAAGGAAGTCCCAAACAACAACTGAAGGAGGCCCCAAGCAATAACTGGGGCCCTTGATTACCTTCACTTGGGTAGCTGCTGTCAGTCTTGACTGGGTATCTGCCTGTTCAATAGCTGCACTTTGAACAGAGATTACTGTTTACTTTGCAGTCTCTGTGGGCTTGAATAGGAGGCTAAGAAGCCAAAAACACCTTGCCAGACCTCCACCACCAGTAACAGTATAGGCTAACCTGGCCTCATACTTGCTATGTAACTGAGGCTGGTTTTGAACTTCTGATCTCTTGCCTCAACCTTCCAAGTGTTAGAACAGAGGTGTATGTCACCACATCTGGTGGCAGACGCTTCATTTATTTTCAGTCATATCTTAGCATATGGATTTGAACCTGAATTCTTTAGCTGTCTGATAAGTTAAAATGTCCAATGCCCTCTTACTATTATTCAGCAGTTTCTTTCTTTATTAAACATTCTCATGGCTGGTGATGGTGGCACATGTCTTTAATCCCAGCACTCAGAAGGCAGAGGCAGGCAGATTTCTTGAGTTCAAGGCCAGCCTGGTCTATAGAGTGAGTTCCAGGACAGCCAGGGATACACAAGAGAAACCCTGTCTTGAAAAACAAAAACAAAAACCCAACAAAAAGACAAACAAAACAACAACCAAACATTCTCTTGGTTGCTCTAAGTTACAAGTAAGATTTCTGAAAAGTTTGTTGCCAGTTTTTCCCCAGTTTAACCATTGCTACTGTGGAGGGACAAAGTTTTGGGTTTCTATATTATGCCATATTTAGATGATGTCAGTTTCATTAAATGTAGAAAGTTCTTGGTTTTGATCACTTTAAATGTTTCTTCTCCAGTCTCTTGTATGGAATTCTGATTTTGTATTCTGTGCCTCATCTTCTCCTTCATGTTCCTTCTGTTTGTCTTTCAGGGCTAGTTCTAGATAATCCTCCCACACCTGTCAACTCCTTCATTCTCTCTTGAGTTGTGTCAGATCTGCTCACTCATTCTGTATATGTATTCATTTGTATTTATTTTATATGCATGAGTGTTTTGCCTGCATGTGTATATGTGTATCACATGTGTGTAGGTGAGTGGAGGCCAGAGGAGGGTCAGATCCTCTGAAAGTCAAGTCACAGGAGGCCAAAAGCCACCTGATATGGGTGCTGGGAACTGAACCCAGGTCCTCTGTAAGAACAACAAGTATTCTTAACTACTGAACAATCTCTCTAGAGACATTCCAGCTCTCTCAACAACTTTTTGTTTAGACAAGGTCTTGCTTTGTCTCAGGCTGGCCTCAAACTCACTCTGTAGTACAGGCTGGCCTTGAACTCTTGAGCCTCCTTCCTCCGTCTCCTGAGTGCTGGGATGACAGATTGTGCTAACGCACTAGGCCCTGATCTGTTTTTTAACTCATCTGTTCACATTTTTACTTCAAGAATTATATTTTCTATTGTAGACATTAAACTACGCACTTTAAAAATTGTTTATTCTGTCCCTATAATCTTTTTGTTGTTGTTTGTTTTTCAATATAGAGTTTCTCTATGCAGCCCTGGCTGTCCTGGAACTGGCTCTGTAGTCTAGGCTGGCCTCTAACTCAGACATCTGCCTGCCTCTGCCTCCCAAGTGCTGGGATCAAAGGTGTGTGCCACTACTGCCCAGTGTTATAGTCTTATTTTTATCTGCAATCATTTAAACAGCATTGATTATGTTCTCACATCACAGCTCATCTATGGTCTCTGAGTCTCAGGATTCTATTCTTCCAACTTGTTTCATTTATTTATCTTTTGATACCAAATTTTTGCTATGAGTCCAGGATGGCCTTGAAATCAGTTTTCCTGTTTTGCTTTTGAGTGTTAGGATTATAGACATATCCTATGGAAACATGGACCATGTATGCCAATTTTTGATTCTTAGTTTGGAGCATTTTTTTGTTTGTTTGTTTGTTTTTCAAGACAGGGTTTCTCTGTGTAGCTTTGCGCCTTTCCTGGAACTCGCTTTGGAGACCAGGCTGGCCTCGAACTCACAGAGATCCGCCTGGCTCTGCCTCCCGAGTGCTGGGATTAAAGGCGTGCGCCACCACCGCCCGGCAGTTTGGAGCATTTTTAAAAGACCAAGTATATCACAAATCACATGCTTTGGCTGTGGTTCTGCATTTATTTCTGTTATGAGTTCATAGGATGTGATTAGAACATCATCAGCCCAAGGCATGTGTTTTCTAGACTCTGGGCAGCAAAAAAATTCAGATTCCAAATCTATGCAAGGGAAAGCTCTTAGCTTTCCCATTCTCAAAGAAAACCCAGGCCTCCTGTCCCCACTCCCACAGGTCAAGTATAGATCAATGTTTCCTGCTTCTTTGTGCTGGCAATGTATGTATGTCTTCCTTCTCCATCTTTCCTCTATGGATGCAGTATTCCCCAGGTGCTGGCTTGATTCCTTAGGCCTCTGCTTGGCTTTGGCTTAAGGCCTTGTGCTGGCTTGTTTTATGTCCACTTGACATGAACTAGATTCAACAGAGAGGAGGGAGCCTCAATTGAGAAAATGTCTCCAAAGATCCAGCTGGGGGGCATTTTCTTAATTAGTGATTGGTGGGAAAGGGTCCAGCCCATTATGGGTGATGCCATCCCTGGGCTGGTGGTCCTGGGTCCTATGAGAAAGCAGGCTGAGCAAAGCATGGGGAGCAAGACAGAAGCAGCACCCCTCCATGGCCTCTGCATCATGTCCTGCCTCCAGGTCCCTGTCCTACTTAAGTTGTTCTTCTTTCTCTTTTTTTTTTTTTTTGGTTTTTCGAGATAGGGTTTCTCTGTGTAGTTTTGGTGCCTTTCCTGGATCCCGCTCTGTAGACCAGGCTGGCCTCGAACTCACAGAGATCCGCCTGCCTCTGCCTCCCCAGTGCTGGGATTAAAGGCGTGCGCCACCGCCGCCCGGCCCTGCTTAAGTTCTTATCCTGACTTCCCTTGATGATGAACTGTGATGTAAAAGTATAAACTCAATAAACTCTTTCCTCCCCAAGTAGCTTTGGTCATGATGTTTTGTCTCAGCGATAAAAACCTAAACTAAGACAGGCCTCATCTCTTGTCTTGAGAGTATTGGAAAATCCATATCTCAAGTTCCTGAGATGGTACCTCATGAGTCACTCCCAACAATCTACAGCTTGTATTGTCATTACTTCCATTTTTCATCTCGAGAACCTTTGCATCCTATCTCTATTCCTTCCCTCTTCTTCCTCCTTCTCCTCCCTCCATTCCTTCCTCTCTCCCTCACTCCCCCTTTCTTCCCTCATTTCTCTTCCTTCCTTTTTTCTAGCTAGGCTATTTAGTGAAAGCAATATTGGTTACATTTCCATCACTATGTTTATGTTAAGTAGAGGAGGATTGACTTTCATGTTTGGTGGACGTTATTTTACTGGATCTTTTCAGTCTCTTCACTGGACACATAGTCTCCATCTTTTTGTCTTCTGTGCATTCTGTTTCCAAGAGTTTTCATTTTAGTCCCATCTCCTTCCTTCCTGTACTGGAGGTCTTCATGAGGACTGATGGATCCCTGGACACTAACAGCTTTTAACAAAAGGGCAGATAGGTAGGTGATCACAGCATTCAGAAGCATATTTCATTAAGTTTTGATTTTTTTTTCTTTCTTGCTATTTACTAGTTGCGTTGAGTTGAAGGGCAGGTTATTTGACTTTTGGCAATTCACTTGCTGGTTTGTAAGGGTAATGAAATGGAGGAACAGAGGTCTCTAGAGGTGGGTAATGAACAAAGGGAGTTGGAAGCTGAGGTGTTAATTGGCTATGAGGGAGTTAGGTGGGTACACTTGGTGATTCTATTGAGTGAGGTGAGGGAATTCGAGTCATGAACCCTAAGACACAATGGCAAGATGTTTACATGAGTTCAATCTCCCTACAGATTGTTACAGACCCTGAGGTACAGATAAAGGACTAGAGGAATGGACGCTTGAGTGACTTACCAAGCTCAGCCTCACCCCATTGGGTGACTATTTCAGGTTGACCATGCTTCTGAAACATTCTTTATTTTCATCAGAGACCTGATATTGTTTTAGTCATGCTTGAAATTTGCTTCACTTTACCTTACTGGTTTATGCAGAGTTTGATTTTCTTTTTTGAATCCTGGAATGATATTCCAATGAGATGTATACCAGCAAAAGCATTAGCAGAAATGGCTGGTTGTTACAGCCTTCCCTATTTGTGAGACTAGCAAAGCCTCGGTGCCTATTTCTGTGACCCAACACAGGCAGGTTTGGGGATCATTTCTGTCTGGCTTCCCCTCTACAACCCAACTTCCCAGCCTGAGCTCTGGTAGAGGAGGCAAGGTTGTCTTTTTCCAGGCGCTAGAATGTGATTGGCACCACCTTTCCTACAGTCTTTACTTACAGTCACAGGCCAGTAGATGAAAGTAGTATATCTGCTGATGGCGAAGGTGTAAAGGAACATGAAGAAAGCAAAAAAGGACAGTTCCATAGTGAGGACCAGGACCAGGAGTGGGTGTGCGGAAATTGATTCAAAGCGGTTGAGTCCAGCGATCATGAAGCCCTGGGTGGAAAAATACATACACCTGAGCTGCTACAAGGTCTCTCCCCGACATCTGAGGCCCTCCCCTCCACAGACACCCCTAGAATTCCAATCCAGCTTACGATACTCAGGGTCTTGATCACGGCGTGTCCCCCGAGCCAGAAATCTTTATTGCAGTCTTTGAATTCCCACTTGTAGCGATCAAACCCCTTTCTTGTGCCCACATCATCCTTGGGCTGTACTTTGTGCTGGCCAGGCACTGCCATGGTAAGCAGTAGTTCTCAATTTCTCGGGGCTCAGACTTGCCTGCAGTCCTTGAACAGGCCCAGCTCAAGAGAGAGCCTGGTGTCTTCAGACCTGTTCAAGGGCGGCGCTCAACTGACCGCTGGGACTGCAGAATTCTAACGCTTATGGTTGGTCAGCGCGAGCACCTCATCTCATGGACCAGCAGGATTGCGTCGACCCTGGCAGAGGCCTGAAATTCCCACCCTCCATGCAGCAACTTGCGCTAAGCCCCACTGGTTCTAGTGTGGCGTTCCTTGAAAAGGAGTCCCAGTTGTGTGGCTATTGCTCCCTGAGGTCCTGGCCCTCCTAACCTCCTGGGGCAGCCTTGTGGAGGAGTGGGAGGGGTAACGCGACTTTTAGACAAGGCCACACGAGGAAGCAGAAGTGTTGCCGACTTAACAGCCCTGTCTTTATAGTCACACACGTGGGCTTGGGAGCTCATGATGGCCTGGAGGGAGTGATTATACTTGGAGTCTCTGCTAAATGCTGGGAAGGGCTGGGTGACTTCAGCATAGCTTCTGCCTCAGTGGGGCAGTGGAGGGCTTAGTTTACATTCCCAGGGCTTTTTTCCATGTTATTCATGTTCTTGATGACCAATAACGCATCGATGAGACACAAGATTGCTGCTGAGAGGCACAGGATCTGTCAGACATAAGACAGGTGGGAAGTAACGGTCAGATTACTTTACAACTAGCACAGCGTCCATTTCTCATTCCTGTTCCTATCGGAGGAGGTCAAGAGCTGCAACAGTCCCTCCTGACTGCTGTAGGTCCGGTTTGTCTTTCCAAGAGAAAGGGAAACATTGGAGTTTGCTGCCCACAGTGGCCTGATCCTATGACTTGCTATTATAACAGTGGTTCCCAACTTGTGGGTTGTGACCCCTTGGACCTAATGATCCTTTCACAGGGGTCGCCTAAGACGAGTGGAAAACACAGATATTTACATTATGATTCCTAACAATAGCTAAATTACAGTTACAAGGTAGCATTGAAAATAATTTTATGGTTGGGTGTCACCACAACATGAGGAACTGTGTTAAAGAGTAGCAGCATTAAGTAGGTTGAAAGCCAGTGCATTAGATAATGACCTTTGCAGTTCTGAGTTGAGTGTCTGGCAGTTGATCCTGAGTGGTGAATGGTCTGGAGCTCTCTGAGGAGGGGACAGATTTGAGATTCAGAAAACGCACCTGCAGTTACTATGAGATGAAGGGAGAGTGAACCTGGATAAGGCAGGAAGACATGGAGGTGGGCTGATGCCAGTCCAGGCAAGAAGAAATGAAGGAGGGAGTGTGGGGGGACCATGGCAGTACAAAGCTCAGTTGATGAGTTGCCAGATTGGGACCAGGGATGGTAGCACCTGGTATTCCAGCCATGGATGTTTCTCTTTGTGGGCTACCTGATGACAGATTCTTAGGAGGCCTTGTTGCAGCCCCTGTGTGAGTTTCTCAGGGGTAAGGGCTCTGTTTCCAGTGCCCAACTCTAGCTTGGCACAATGCAGTGGGATTAACAAATGTTCTCCAATTTATGAAATGAAGTTAAAGAATTTAAATCCTTTTTAAAAGTTTCTACATTTCTTTCTTTGGTGTGTGTGTGTGTGTGTGTGTGTGTGTGTGTGTGTGTGTGTGTGTGTATGTGTGTGTGTGTAGGCCTGTACATGCCACAGCATGTGTTTGGAGGTTAGAGATAACAGGTAGGAGTCAGCTCTCTTTTTCCATTGTGTGGATTCCAGTGCTTGAACTGGGGTCATCATGCTTAACGGCAAGTACCACTGAGACATCACCCCTGTCCTAAACTGTTTTCTTTTCTTGGTTAATTTCTGTCTACATTATTGAACCAAGTCCAAGTTCCATTTCCTTACTCTTCCTATTCTTTAAACATTTGATTTGCTATTTCTTACATTCTTCCATTTGATATGGATTTAGGCTCAGTTCATCTAAGCTTTGTGACTCATGACAAAGTATTTAACCTCAGTCTAAGGACATACCCAGGTGTCTGTAAACCTGAATGTTTAAAGTTAAGTCAGGGACCAGGGAAGTGGTGCTGTTGGCATAGTGTTGGCCTGGCATGCACAAGGCCCTGGGTTTGATCCCCAGCACTGCATAAACCAAGCATGGTGGTGCATACCTATAATCCATCAGGGGAATAGGGTTTGTGTAGAAGCAGGATAATCAGAAGTTCAAATTTATCCTCAACCACAGAGCAAGTTAGAGACTGGCCTGGATTGGAGACCTTATTTATAAAGGTCTAAGACTAAGGAAGTGCCTAGACTGTGCTGAGCACACACTAGGTACTTCACCATAGGCAGGATCTCTTCCTCCTTGGACAAGCAGAGTTACCCAATTTCAAAAGCCCCCACTTTATATCTGTGTTTAATATAGTTCTCTAGCCAAGAAAAACCAAACTGATAGTGTGGTGGTTTGCATAAGAAGGGCCTCTGCAGGGTCATGTATTTGAATGTTTGGTTCCCAGTTGGTGAACTGTTTAAAAAGGATTAGGAGGCATTTCCTTGTTTGAAGAGGTGTGTCATTATGGGTGGGCTTTGAGGTTTCAAGAGTCCAAGTCAGGCCTAATCTTATTCTTTTCCTGCTGCCTGTGGATCAGATGTGAGCTCTCAGCTCCTGCTCCAGCCCAATGCTTCTCTACCTACCGCCATGCTCCAAACCATGATAGTCATGGACTCATCCTCTGAAACTGTAAGCCAGACCCCAATCAAATGCTTTCTTTTATAAGTTTCCTTGGTCATGGAGTCTCTCTTCACAGCAATAGAATGATAACCAAGACTCCTATTTATAAGATTATTTTCTTTCAGTATTTTATATGTAGTGTATATTATTTGCAAAAGTTATTCTGTAGACTCAAAAACTTATTTGGAGAATATGTTTTGTGAGATTTAGGTTTTGGCAACTTGATATCATTTGAAGATGTCCCTACAAGAAAGAGAAGGGGGTCTGGAGAGATGGCTCAGTGGTTAAGAGCACTTGCTGCCCTTGTAGAGGACCCAGGTTTGGTTCCCATGCCCCATGTGGAGGCTCACAGCTGTCTTTAACTCCAGTTCCAGCAGATCCAAAGTCCTCTCTTGATCTTCACTCTTACTTGCATGTGTGTACACATACCTACATACAGGCACACACACACACACACACACACACACACACACACACACACACACACACACACACGAAATTAAAAATAAGTCTTCTCTATCCTGTTAATGACACCATGATGGCCTTCCTTTTTCAGGGTCCTGATATAGTCTATTTATATTTGTTTTTTTTTTTCAAGACAGGGTTTCTCTTTGCAACATTGGCTCTCCTGGAACTCTCTCTGTAGACCATACTGGCCTCAAACTCACAGAGATCCTCCTACCTCTTCCTCCTTGATGCTAAAATTAAAGGTGTTTGCCACCACTACTGGCTATATTATTTTCAATTTAAAACATGTGTATGACTTTATTTGTCTGTGTATGTATATGCACTTGTGTGGGACTTGGAGATATATTGTGGATTGTTAGACTTGGTGGTAGATGCCTTTAACCTCTGGGCATCTATCTCACTGACCCCAGACCACTGTTCTTAAATAGATTCATAGAGGCCTCTACTTACCCCTCCAACATAGGACCAATGCTTTCTTTCTTTTTCTTGCATTGTTAGTATGGCAACTACTCCAAGGAACACAGTTGAAATGATACTGTTGATAAGATCCTGCAATGCAGAGTTGAAATTGGTCAACTGTAAATGAGAATGTAATTTCCAAATATTCAAACAGGTCAGTTACCCATCTAAGAGTGGATACCTTTTAAACACTTTCTCTTTGATTGACAGGGACCTTCAGGGGTATAATTATGGTTTTCAGAGATTTGAGTCTATGTGATTTTAAGGTCTTGGATAGGACTTTGTAGAAATAGGTTTGATTTCATTAGAACATCATTAGGGACATTAACATTTCTATAGGCATATATATATACATATATATATATATATGTGTGTGTGTGTGTGTGTCACACACACACACACACACACACACACACACACACACACACACACACACAGCTGTCCTATGTGGGTGCTGGGAACTGAGCTTGGGTACTCTGTGGAGTCTTAACCTTGGAGTCATCTCTCCATCCCCTTCCATGGCTTTTCTTAAAGGTATAGCAATTCTAGATTCTGTGGTCTAGGACTGGCCAAAAATGGCCCTCCATAACATGACTTTTTTTGAAGTTTTATATTTTAATGTGGATTCTTTATTTTATCCCATAACTTATTTATTTTAATATATGTAAACATATGGGTTTGAGGGTAAATTTTATATTAGTAGTTCATTCATTCAATATATTCCTATATCCATAGGTAAAAATTAATGCTCTAGAAGTTGGATTATGTTTATTATTTTGTGAGCCCATGTATCCTGAGAACACCTAAACCCATCTGAAGAGCAGACTTGATTTTCTGAAGTGAATGGCTGTGTTGTTTGCTCTCGTCTGAGACAAAGTCAGAATTAAATCAGCCTGATATATCTTCAAGTTCTGGGTTTTGTTTCGGTTTTTCAAGACAAGGTTTCTCTGTGTAGTTTTGGTGCCTGTCCTGGATCTTGCTCTGTAGAATAGGCTGGCCTCGAACTCACAGAGCTCCGCCTGTCTCTGCCTCTCGAGTGCTGGGTTTAAGGGCGTGCGCCACCACCGCCTGGCTTATCTTCCAGTTCTTATGTCCTTTGTTCTACGTTTTGGTTATAGGCTCTTCAACCCCAGGCCAGCCTGCCTCTTTGTGTACTGGAAGAGTGAGATGGATAGGAAGGGTTTCTCTTAGAGCGGGACACTACACTTTGATGGTAGAGTGACGATGGAGTCAGTGGGACCAGTGTGTGGACAGGGTCTACGGTAAAAAACAATGATTTGACCAGGTATATAACTGGAGGACTCTAAGTCTGTGTGTCAAACTTGGGTGTTATTCCTCAGGAGCTGTCCATCTTATGTTTTTTAACTTTAGTTACATTTTACTCATTGTATGTGTGTGTG